ACACACACACACACACACACACACGAGCCACGGGATTGGCTGAATTATCGTCGCCACTTCTCACCACCTCGCTCTGATTGGCTCGCAGGCTTGTGACGTCACTGCGAAGCGCCGGTTCTGCAGTTTGTAAAGTTTGGCGTGTCGCCCTCGGACCGATGGACAGAAGCGAGCGTGTGTCTCGCTGAACGACGGGAGAACAGGTGGGTGTCCCCCGGTGACGGGTCCTCGCTCCGCTCGCCGCCGTCAGAAACCACCTCTCGTGCTTCGTTCAGCTCGGAGGCTCGATTGTCAGAGGCGAGGGAGCTAGCACGTTAGCTGCTAGTGGTGCTAACCTCCGGCGAGCTCTGCGGCTGAAGTGACGCCGGAGAGTCGACGGACGCTGTTTTGTGAAATGTGGTTAAATTGTCAAATTGAGTGATTCCCGCAGTCGAGTGAGGGGTCAGCGTGTAGCTGTGTGCTCACCCGGTGATGTTCAGAGATCCTTCAGGGGTTAGCTCTCACTGCGTTAGCTCGATGTAAACACTGGCACGCCCACTTCCCACCCATCACTAGCAATACAACGAATATATATATACACACACAATGAGGACACACTGTTTATCAAGTCCATCACATTTTGTTTGTTTATCTCATATCAGATCTTAACAAAGTGCAACATCTTCTGTTCTTCACCCTCGACAAGAGGAAAACTACCGGAAAGAATCCTAGAATCCTCAGAGAGCCACGTGTGAGGATCCCTCACACATCAACTCAACAACAGTATTTACAACATGGATCAGAAGAAACATTTCGTGTGAATTGAAGGAGTCAAGCAGTCTTGTTGCGGTCGTGGGCCACGATCCGGATCCTCTCTGTCCATGAAGTGTTTGTCAGTCTACTTATAAATGCGATTTTAGAACCGCGTCTAATTTACACCGTGTTTTAAACGTAAAAAAGTCCACTACAGGAACCAGCGATGCTAGCGGACGTAGTAATGACGTGACCTTGGGTGTCATCAGGTCTGAATGTGCCTCAGTGTCTCAGGTCACTCAGGCCACGGTCTGTGCTGGTCAGTGGTGGTCTGTGGTGGTCTGTGATGCACTGTCTTGTTGCTGTGTGAACATGAATGTGTCCTGGGCCACGTATGGAGGACAGCTGGTGTCTCATAATGAACCAAACTTAGTTTATGCTCTTCAGTGTCCATACGTTGGTTTGTTTGTGGAAACAACATCAACACTGAATAGTGATTGATCCTGACACCTCTCTTTCTTTAACCTATTCATGTCGACTGAAGTGACCTACATGTTTATTTGCGTACTGGGTGGGGAAGTGAGGTCCGATCGCAAGTGATCAGAAGAGACACATTCAGTACCCTTGTCGTTGTCAGGTGTGAATAGACCAACTTAGATCTGTCCATCCGTGATCGTCTCTCTCAGGATGAATGTTAATAACAGGTCTGAACAGGGCCAGAGTTTTTACTGAAGACATCCCACAAGTCCTGTGAACATCTTAAACCAAAGCAACAATAGATCAAATGCTGTCGTCAGAATCAGCTTCACTAACAGTAGTGTTTGTGCATACTATCTGTGTATGCGTCCACACGGCACCAGGAATGATGTTCAGGAGGATACACATAGAACTCATTGTGAAAAGCATATTCAGTTTATAAAATAAGCAAATATTATCATCGTATTATCTTCAACCAACGGACTGCAGTTATGCTGGTCTCAGACCCACTGGAGCTGGAGTGGTGTCTTATGAAATGCTTTTCAAGGTTTGTTGCTTCACTGCAGTATTTCAACACTGAATTGAGCAGCTGCCTTTTGTTGAATTTCTCCCTGCCCTTGTTCGTTGTTAATCCAAAATATGCTGACACGTCAACTTACACAGCTGTAGAGTGTCTCTGCTTTATTATGGCTGTGTTACCATCAAACTAAAGCCGGAGTAACGTTTGCTGTTGATACCTTATATTGTTTAGGAGCGAGTTCATTTTTATACTCTCACACTTACATTTTATAATCATGTGTCCAAATTCTACGCTGCACAAGCATGAGGGAGAAAAGCTGAACGGTTCTCGAGATATGTGAGACACAGACAGGCCGGTTTGTGTAATTATAACAGGCAGGAAACATTGCACAGCCGGCCGAGCTGAACGGAGAGGTGCACAGTTTTTGACCGACCCATTTTTGTTCATTTAGATGGATGACATCAATGTACTACACCACAGATGCCTCCTGAATCTAAGGCGTCGAATCAGAGATATTGGGGATGGGCGCCCCGCGCAGGAACGATACATGAGGCTGCAGAAAGATGGAGACATGCTCAGGTCAGCCTGCTGTTTCATGGGTGTGCAGAAACCATGTGGATACTGTTTTACAGATGCATATAGTGTATGTGTGTGTGTGTACTTCTGTGTTTTGTATGTATTGTTTGTATGTTTTTTAACCAGCAACCTGTCAGAGATTGCAGATGAACGCTCGCACATTTACATGTTGGACTTAAAGCTAGAGTTGGTAATCCTGAAAAAGTTTGTAAGAGGAGGCCCCCTCCCATCGGCCCTCTCATTATACTCATATGAACGCTCACTGCCAACTGCTGGAAGATAACTTTTCCATAACTCGGGGGCTAACTTCTGCCTAGCGTCTCTAAGTAGTTTTTTTCAGGAACATAGAAATGGTAGCAGGTATTCGCATAACGACGGAGCCCCTGAAATGCACAAGATTCTCTTTGTCGTTAACATTTTAGAGAATGTAATGAATATTTTCCACATTAATGATGTTTGATCACCCACCCAAACCCATCTGCTATTAATCCAAACATTTTATGACCCTACCCACCTGCGTCACTATAGTAAAAATATGAATTAACATGTATTCAAGTCAATTTTAAATACTTAAACATATCAGTTGCATTTCTAAATCTGCTACATGGTTTTTAAATATTGACGATGGCTACAAAACGTGTTTTAATACGATCACGCTGATGTTGTGGTTGAAACTGTTTGACAGGAGGAGGTTGTTCTTCGAGTTGTTGTTAACCTGTGATTTCTTCTCTTTAGTTACCAAGGGAACTCTGAAGAAGTGGGTTGCTATGTGGCTGGCCATCCTCTGTCAAAGGGAAACTGTTACTTTGAGGTGAGACACATTGATTCTGATTCTGCAAATCAGCGTCTGACATTGGAACAATGATAAACACAGATTAATAAAAACACGGGACGACAAAAACACAACGAGAACCTGTTGTTGAAACAGTCATGGACTCCTAAGTTTGTGGAGTTAAGATTCTATTTTTAGTTGCCAGAGGGAACTCTGTAGCGCCTCCCTGAGCTCAAAGTTTCAAAGTGGCAGAAAGGAGGATGGGAGCTATTTGTCAGGAGACTACCTGCTTTGCTCCTCGTCCTCTCAGTGAAGAGTTGGGTCAAGGGCTTTTTGAGTGTGCTCACTATTTTGCTTGCCGTTGACACAACCCTGGAAAGTTTGTTCCGTGACCGTATCTGGCAGGAAGAGGAAAAGTTAAAACACTTTGCACACAACTTCTAAAAACTGACTCTGAGGCCTCTGCGTCTTCTAGGAAGATAAAATTGCTGTGAGCATTTCTTAAAAAACGTACTCTGTGTATTCAGAGAACCTCAGAGTCAAAGTGTAGAGATATTTAAAATATTTCTTTCAGCAAGTTGTCCAGCAAGTGAAACTACTGTGCAGTGTTTCCGCTGATACCATTCAAATGAGCAGGCATTTGGTGAGGTGGGGCAGAGACTCATCTATCCTCACTCCTTCAGTTCAAGATGGGATGTCTCTGCTCTCATCCGGGTTCCTTTCTGTCACACCTGAGCTCACCTACACGTAAACACCTTTCTGGGTTTCCCGGATCAATAAACCAAACATGGTCGAGACCTCCTTCCATCAGAGCGAGGCACAAATGAAGCTACAGCTTTATTTTCATCGTTTACGTTCGGGAGGAAAACCATTGCAGCTTTCTGTCCACCCCCCCCTCCTGTGTAGAGTCACCTAAATCAGACTGCAACCCTCACCTCGGAAAATATGTCTTGCCTTTGCCCCCATGTCCAACCTCTTGACCCACAGGAAACCCTCCAGGGAATGTCTGTCAGCATTGGCCGCGGTGAATCCTGCAGAGAATCTCCTGCTGTGATCTCACATCGGCTCATTCGGATTTCCTCCTGACTTCAAATCCACAGAAAGACCAGAGAGTCTCTCACTCAAGACATTTGCGTTCCCGCACACATACCCCCCGGAGAATGCACAGAGGTTTTCCACTGCATGTCTGAAAGCAGCTCACGCCTTAATTCGGGCAAGATAGGCATCGTAATATTAATAGGTTGATGATTATATATTGTTTGTGCATCATTAGTTGATGTGATAGCATCAAACTGCTATCTGTAACTTTGTTTTTCACAGTATGATAGGCCCACATACCGTCATCCCTGGTTGTGCCCTAGATTGCTTTTCCATCCAGCCAGCAATTTTATCCCCTGGAATCCCATTGCTGACAATTTTCTCAACTTCATATTAAATTCTCAGTGCCCCCCCACAGTCCCAGTTCACCAGTGTAAAACCACTACCTCAAAAATGTCCTAGCTCCGTTGGAATGAGGGATAGGGTGTGGGTTAGGTGGTATCTCTGAGCACAAAGATTAGTCTAACACACAGTGTTTTTCAGCAGACTGGCAGAGGGAGAAAGCAAAGCTGACGTGCTCCTTCAGTCCACATCAGGCTGCTGCTACAGTGTGTGTCCATACAGTCGAGAGAAGAGGGAAGTATCTTGGTGATTTAGCACCGGAGAGTAGCAAGAGTTCAGTCATAAATCAGGTTGCAGAGGGTTCTTTTATCAGCCGGCTTTCTTGTGGATGGTGCATGTCATGGTAGACCTCGTGACGTGTATTCACAGGCTGCAGGTGAGGCCGGCATTCTTTCTTTCTTGTCTTCAGGAGGAAACATTAGGCCTTACGTTATCCACTGAACCTACGTCATTCCACCGGGCTGCAAATAGCCCCAGACAGGACCACGCTGCATCCGAGTCCTGTAGCTGTACGAACCTCTCCTGATTTACTTCTCCCCCTGTTCTTTTCGGATGTTCCCCTCTCGATGGGAGGCACTATTTCGGGCATATGTTGGAACATTTCAGATCTGTTTCCCTCGACTCGACTACAAGCTAACAATGTACTTTGACTTTTTTTTTTTTCATCGTGGCGGTGAGGAGTTCCTGATTCGTGCCAGATGTGACATTTCCTCTAAATGTGATGTCAAACTCTCATCTGACCTCCAGATCCTTTTCTCTCTCTTGCCTCAGCATGCAAATCGTTAAGATAACAATTGTTATATTTAAATGAGAATCACATTTGGAGCCTCGTACGTCCCTCTGACATTTAAACAAGAGGATTTTAGTGTGGTCATTACCCAGAGTTTCATGCTACATTTTTCTCTACTTCGTGACGCACATGCTGTCAGTTTCCCAGATATCTCGAAAATTTGGGAGCATTTATTCTCATAAAGGTCAGGCTTCTGTCGACATATGCGTCACTGCTATCCTCGTGTTTCTCCCTCGTTCTGCTTTCACAAGGAATCCATTTCACGTTTGTTGTCAGTGCTGCTGCTCTTTCTCCAGTTTTTGTCATCAGTCCTCCTCGAGCCCAGCTCAACATCTGCAGCATTCCACTCATTTTAATAGAGTTGTTTGAAACATTAATGTCAACATAACTGAACGGCTCATCGGTGAACACATTCCTTCTCTTTCATAATCTAAGTCATCTCGCACGCTTTTTTTATTCATGGCATTTTAACAGTTTAGGTGCGGACGTGGGGACCTGCCAAGGAAAAGAATTTACTTCTCTCACACAGCAAAGGTATAATGTGTGATCCCCAAATTGACAAAGTGGAAAGGAGTCGGTCCTGGAATCTTTAGTGAGGGAAACACAAGAAGTTTGGTTTCATGTGCCAGGAGCCGTCGTGCAGGAGCAGTGATTTGGCTGGTGAAGAAGGAGGTGGATAATCAAGGATGGAGGTAAAGTGGAAGATGTGAGGAATGATGCAGAAGAGGTCACAAACAAAGGAAGAGACAGACACACTGAACGGTTACTCTTCTACACCTTAATTATGACCAGGTTACTGTGATGACTGTCCTTCACCTGTTTCTGCTGCTGTTTATTAGTATTGAACGTTTAATGTGTCCAAAAAAACTCATGCCAAGTGTGAAGCCAACAAGATTAACGGTTCTGGAGATTCACAGAGATTTCTACAAGTAGTAGATGGATCCTTCGACACCAAATTTCACCTGCTCCTTTGTTTACTCGACACATTTCTGATTGTTCTCATAAAGATTACGACTTGAAATCAATTCAGAGTGACACATTCCTGGATCCGGCCCTTTGTCTGGTTCTGTGCCAGGAGTCAATGAGTTCTCTTTTTGTCCATTCTCCACTCTGCTTCCACGTTTCAAGAAAACTGGATCAGCAGTTTTTTGCGCCGTCCTGCAAACAAACCAGATAAAAAAAACAGCAATGGAGACACAGTAGACATTTTTCTATTGTTCATATGTAGAGAGACCAGGACGGTAGCACATCTCCACCATGTGTGTAGAGTCAGACATTATCCTGAGTGGGTCAAACCCGCCTGAGACTCACTGGAGCGGCTTCCTTTCCTGATTTGTTTTCCACTGAAGGTGGAACTGACTAAAGTTTCTGATAGTAAAACATATAAAATATTAAGCTTGTGTTTTATTTTTGGCTTTGGCTGTAAATTCATTTAGTTTATTTTTTGCAGTTAACTTTTTACTCTGCACACAGCAGAGTGGAATCTGATCTGCTCCAGCTGTGAGTTGATTTAACTGGTCCTGGTCTTCGGCTACATCTTCACTACTGGAGTCTGAGAGCCGCCGCTGGTCCCGTCCTGCTCGGCTGCGTTTTAGTCTGGACGGACAAAAACTGTTCGGAAACTATGACGTAGAAGCACACAAGCGCTTTTTCGATCACGACGTAGCCCTCGATGATTCGTCGGGGCTCCTATCACAAACTGACCACGTTGTCTTTGCTCACTAACCCCTTCAGCCATCTGTTTACACCAGCACATGCAGGCCCAGTGCACGTGGGTGGATACGTGATATGCGTTTTCACGTGTGTAACTAGTGTGTTAGTTACAGGGTTTTCTCTTTGTGTGTGTGTGTGTGTGTTTGTTATAGGTGACGATAGTGGACACTGGGGTGAGGGGAACCATTGCTGTGGGCCTGGTGCCTAAATTCTACAGGCTGGACCACCAGCCTGGCTGGCTGCCATACTCTGTAGCTTACCACGCTGACAACGGCAAGTAAGTCAAACCACAGTCATCTATACACTACAGTTTCTTGCATGGTTTGGGAAAATGGATTGTGGCCTGTTGCTGCCGCATCCACATATAACCGCAAAAGTAATTCCGTATATAATTCTCCTTAGTTCTTGCTTTTAGTTCTTTCTCCAGCACGAAGTACTTTTGATACAGGGATCATGGCTCTGAGCCCCACAGGCCTCTGAGTTGTTCGTGTTGCTTTTCAATTCAAGATCTTCTTTCTTTTTTCTACTGATAACTTGAAATGCAAAGGTGCAGTCGGAAAATAGTGAAGTTTCGTTTAAAGTGAGATCTTCATCATACTTGTTTTGTTTGACCATTATTTTAAAAGTCAAAAAATTTCATTTAAAAAAGAAAAGAGAGCAAGAATCATTGTTGCCAAAATATGTAATTTTCTCAAGGTCTAGTTATTAATCAGTGAATTGTTGGTAATTTAGAAATTATAAATTATTAACTGCCCAACAGTTCTTATTAAACCACATTTAACTTCACTTCTCCCTGATTTTTGTTTGGATTTGCCCAAAATTACACACACTAATAGATACCAGCTCCCTAAACATGTCTGAAGTTTTTATTTTCATCAAGATCCATGAATCTCTGAGAAATCAATACAAATCCAGAATCCTTACTAACTGGGTTCTTACTCACTGTAGATTTACATCTAGTAGTTTTTTTGCACAATTCTGCTAATGAACCAACAGACAGAGAAAACAAACACGAGGAAAACGTTGATAACAGGAAGTAAAAAAAAAAAAAAAATTCAGCGTCTGCTGTGATGTTTACTGTTAAATGTAAAGTTCTTCCCTGATCTGTACCACATCCTTCCACCGAGTCTCATGATAATCCCTCCGGTGGCTTTTTGCGTCATCCTCCCTACAGACAGACAAACACACTCAGAAGAAAACATAACCCCCTTGGCGGAGGTAATACGAGCTTCTGATTCATACCTTAGATACTTATTTGACCTAAACTGGGCGCTAAGCACTTTCGCTACGTGCTCTGTGTTTAGCGCCATGTTTAGGACTGGATTTATATTTGTGGTTCTCTGTAGATATTTCAGCATCTGATTTCACCCGTTGATGGCACCACACACTCCTGCAGCATTAGACAGATGTGTTGTACATTATCAGGCCATTGCAGCTACTGTAATTATATGCCTCAAAGTTGTTTACATGTTTTTCCACCATAATGAGGTTAACGAATGTAAAAGTAAAGTGTGTGGGACGAAGGGTCAGAGGTCAGCCTGCTCTAAACTCCGCGTCCCAACGGCGTTTGTTCCTCCTCTTCTTTATTTGGTCATCGAGCCTCTTGCACGGCTCGTTCTCCCAAAACAGTCAACTTGAGTGTTATTATAGATTGTTAATATACTCCGTTATATATTTGATGTTGTTTGGTGACAGTGGAATAACATTGGACTTATTGTATTGTCTTCCACTTAATGAAGGAATTGTTTTTCCTCTCCACAGTCCTTGGTCGTTACGGGAACTGTTGGGTTTCTCCACAATTATTAAGGTCTCGACCTTGCAATGAAAAGTGCCTTGAGATAATGTATATTATGATTCGGTGCTATACAAATAAAATTGAGTTGAGTTATACCCTGACAGACATTTTCCACTTTACACCCATTGTTTATTATATCTTTAATCTATAACCGTCCTTAATTTGCATGTGAAGAATGAGCAAAGGTTCCAGTGGAGGGGTGAAAGAAGCTTGTGAGCACAAACATTCATCATCAACGACGGTGTCACTTCAAACCAATCACCAGGAAAATAATCATGATTGAATCATTGTTTTTAGCAGCAGAAGTAGGAGAGAGGACGACAATGAGACGTGTGTCTCTTCTTCCCTTTAGACTGTACAATGGAAACCCTGTGGGGCAGCAGTTTGGACCAAAGTGTGCTCGAGGTGACCGCATTGGCTGTGGAATACACTCCGAAAATACAGAAGCAGATTTTTCAACAGTCTTTTTCACCAAAAATGGCAAAGAGGTAAGTGTGTTGATGAGGTGTCGTCTCCGTTTGCCGTCTGTCTTTCTTTCGCTCACTGTGTCTCTCTACGTCTCTCTCTCTCTCTCCCGCTCAGGTGGGTTCAGTGGATGTTCCTGTGTTGGCTGAGGGGCTGTTCCCCGCTGTAGGGATGCACTCCATGGGGGAGGAGGTGAAGGTTGACCTGCAGGCTGAGTGGTTCCTGGAGGAGGATGAGAGTATGATGATGGTTGACAGCCATGAGGATGACTGGGGTCGGCTTTACGACGTCAGGGTGAGCGGAACGGTAAGAAGAAGAAAATCTCTTTTGGCTAATGGAGTGAATTTGTTTTCCTCACGCTCGGGCCGCGCGGCGCTCGGGACCGGCTGATCTGCTGCAGAGCTGCTACATGAGGTTTCTGGTATGACAACTGTGTTTCCTCGAATAAAATGTACTCAACTAAATACCAGAACTCTTCAGTATGAAACTGCAAATCTTCCGGTCCTGCAACAACAACAAAAACCTTGTTAACACTAATCCATTGCGCGCTGCTCACACATCCGCTGTGGCCGGAACGTTATTGAGAATTACATTGGATGAGTATCAGTTTCATCTTTTGTAGTTTAGCTTAGAACGAGATGATGGAACATAACACTTTGCTGCTATTTTCAGAATTGTTAAACATGACTGCATAGAATCGGAGGCATGTGTGATTATTACTGTGAAAACAAACAGAATACATGTTGTATAGTTTGTGTGTTTTCCTTGCACATGTGTACGGATCACTCAACTGCTCGTGGTTTCACATATCCCTCGTTGTTGACAGCCGTGCTTAATGCTTCAGGCAAAGCTCTAGACACAATAACTTAAATTTAAATGATTTTGTCTCGTCCCATCATCATCTTGCCGTGACTGGATTTGGGTCACCTTTGTTTTTGCAGGTTGCTTCATGACATCAGCTCGGGGATTTTCCTCCGAGTTCTGTATAGACACCAGGTTCAGTAACAAGATAAACAGCAGACTGTCAGTGAAGACGTTGAGTCTCTCGTCTTTCATTCCCTCTTTGCTTCTTCATAGTTGGGGATTATGCAACAGTTCAAATCAGTTCAACAGGCAAATCAACTTTCAGATCTTAGGCACACAAGCAGGGTAACTTTCATCCACGGATAGAGATACATATAAATCTTAAGACGTCTCTTATTCAAGAAACCACCGTCAGCCTTTGGTTGCCGCATTGTAATCACTTTAATTGCAGTCATGATTTGTAGTCCTGTGTGTTATTATACCATTATACACCAATTACAGCTAATGAATTCTAATTAAACCTAATTCACACAACACACTGCTTTTGGTGTAACTCAAAGACCTCTCACACTTCAACAGTTGTGTTTTTGGTGAAGTAATGAACACGTTTCAAGACGTTTGACGATTCATCGACTAGTTGTAAACTTTGCCTGCCATGTGTTTGGTGGTGGTGGTGGTGGTGGGGGGGTATTCAGAGCTTCTTGAGGAAATAAAGCTGAGTGAAGCTGAGACTTGATTTAAACCAGGACGTTCAGGGAGCTCATATCACTGCCAAGGCAACAGTCTCCTTATGAAACCACATTTAAATATGTTAGATCTGCACCAAATCACACATCAAGCCTTGTGGTAATGTGTTTTGTAGTTTTGTGCGTAACTCTGCCAACGAGCTAACCGACAGAAAAAGCAAACAGTTGCAGATGGAAAGGTAACCTCCTCTGCAAAGGTGATAATATTGATGATTGCAGCTGTAGTTTGATTTCTTCATGATGTGATCAATGCCTCACCATTTCAGAATATCCTACATAGAGTTTACGGTCTGGAACCAGGTCGACTAACTACGAGAGGAATTGTGACCATAAAAATATTGGAAAATGTGACAAAGGCAAAGGTACAAGACTGAACAGTGTAGCATCGTAGTGTGGCGTCACAGAACCATCCAGTCAAAGCCAACATGATTTTCGTGGTGTGATAAACATTTCCATGGTAACACCGAGCTCCACCAATCAGAGATGTCACCACTACACCTGAGGATTGTGGGTAGGGTAGGACGTCTCGTCGACATCATTAATAGAACTCAGTTGATTTGATTTGACCGTGTGACTTCTACAGGAGAATATAACTCTGTTTCATAGCTTGTAGTCCGGTTACCTCGGATGGTTAAACTATTGTTGCTGATCATCTGTGTGCCTGATGAGAGGTGTTTCTAATAATCTCTTTATTTACATATGTGACGGAGTAAAGAACATCACCGTAGACGTCAGGCTCAAAAAGGACAATAGAGCTGAATCCTGATTATTGTGATTATTTCAGGACTATTGTGTCGCGTTGCATCGCACACTATATTTATTTATTCTTCTGTTCACTGTAATTACCTCCTGCAAGCCTGATCAGGTTTGTATTTTCTCCGCTGTGTCAGATCGGGACACTTGTTGATCTGGTGACGCAGCAGGTGAGGTTAGGCTACTTATTGTGTTTGTAGAAAATGGTCTAGGAAAGTTTTGCCTTGTTTATCTGAGCAGCTCCATCCTGCTCCTGTTGTAGTTAGTAACGTCTTTCTCTAAAGTTCCCTTTGCGACACAGTTGGGGTCTTTTTTTTTTTTTTAAATTCTGTCAGAACTAGTTTTCAAGACTCGTCCTGAGACGCCAGGAATCAAAAAACACCCACAGACTGAAAGTGGAAATGAATCATTGAGAAACAATTAGCACATCTATCCTGTCTGTCATTTCTTCTTGAAGACATCTCATTACACATGAACAATATGAAAAGATACTTGATACTTCAAAATTGAAAAACCAGAGGTATCCCTCTTTTACACCTAAATGAATTTTGAATATGGTTAAACCTATTTTAAAATGAGGATCGACTCCTTCACCAGGATCGACTCCTTCACCATTGCCAGCAGAGTTTGCCTTTACGTTTTTTCCGGTGAGCCATGTTCGACTTCCTGTAAGCACTGGAAACTGAGAACCACATTTTTTTTTTTTTTTTTACCCCAAAATCACTGTTGCTCATTGTTACCAAGGTTTAACGCTCATGGCCACATCCGGACATCCAATGTGTATATTTATGCTGCGCCAGAATAGATGCAGCATCAGCGTCTAGACTGTTGGGTTTTTTTTGTCTTTTGCCACAAGTGAATATGAATCAGCGTCTCACAGATGCACAGGTCTGACTGTCTGTGTGAACGGTAAAAACTTTATGGACCATAGGCAAGTGCTAGTGCAAGAACGCAGTCTGCACGAGATCTCTTGTACACGTTGTTTTGGTTCATAATGAAACCGCGGTGGGACAAATAACAGAACGGCGAGTTGACACAGTCTAGATGATTCATGGGAAACACTTTATCTGCACCTGATGGTGTCACTAGAAGTAAAAGTCAGGTGATCACAAACTTCATCCTCCTGTCGCTTCTAAAGTCTCACACCGATTCATTTAACAATTGAGATATTTCAGCCCGAACCAAATGATGGACCAACCTGCTGACACAGCCACATTACCATCACGAGAGCCTTGCCAGCCAGCATGGCTAATTAGTCACTTTGTTAAATGGCATAACAGATTTTTTTCCACCTTAGCTTCGGGCCAAATTCAAGCGTTGCACAGTGATTAATAATGACCGATATTTGGCAGAGTTCGGATGCAGGGTTGTTTTCTCAGACACAGACTAAACTATGATTCAAGAAGCTTCTATCAGCCACGTGAATGGTGCTCATTGTTGGAAACAACTTTGTCATCAGATGTATCACAGCTCTGCGTAACCGCCACTTTACAGTAGTGAACTGTAACACCTTTGTTCTGTGTTGAGGTGCGAGCTCCCGCTTCAAACAGTTAACCACAGGAGCACTGGCGGGTCTCTCAGCGACCCTGCGGAGACGACGGTCGGTGTGTGTGTGTGATAAACGTGTGTTTCCTCAGTCGTCACGGACACAAACGTGCAGCGCAGAGGTCTTCTCTCAGAGCAGATTGCTGAGGGTGAGGGGGATGATTCAATTAGCAGTCTTGCTCTCTGTTTTTCTGTCTGTCTCTCTTTTTCTGTTTTTCTGGACCGAGGAGTGGCAATGGCATGAAACGTGTTGCCAGAGCCAAGTGCCTGGCAGTCCACCAGGTTGTAAAATTTCAATAAGTGGAGTAAGGGGACTCCAAGGAATCTTTCACTCTTTCTCATGTGGTTGGAGGTTTTCACAGCTGGAGCGCCCGGCTGCACGGTCCGCTCAACAGTCCGCTCGACAGTCCAACACTCATTTCTTTCTCTCCTTCTCTTTTTTTTTTTTTTTTTTTTTTTTCCTAATGAGCAAGCAGCCATTAGCCTCCAGGTCCATGACGTGGTCGCTATTGTCAGGGTGATAACAGTCAAACAGATAAGGTTGTCAAGTTCTGACAAGTTCACCCTGAAGAAGGCTGTGGGAGCTGTTGTAACAGTAGCTGCTCCCTGTGATGACAGAAGCTACGTCCTTACTTCACCATTGTCATTTGTAAAAAGGCGTTTTCTAACTAAAACCATCGCTGTCCACACAAGCCTCCAGTTTTAATCTCAGTCCATACAAACATCACGTGACCACACAGGTACACTGGGCGTGCATGTGCCAGCTGATCTTCTACGCATGTACGCAGTTGTATTATTGTAAAATACAGAATCAACAACAGCTGTGAGCAGAGACAGCAGGGTTACCGACACTTGAACGTGATTCTCCATGTTGCGTCATACAGCCGGGAAGAGGGTCATGTGATAGAAGCCTGACGAGTCAACGAAGGCTTCATCTAGACAGAATCAGCAAGATGTGTGTGTCTACGTCACTGTTTCCAAATATCTGTTATACCAGACTGAAACGAGACCTAGCGGAGTTTCCCAACTTCTCCCTGTCGGAGGCTCTTACACTCCGGAGTAGTGTGGACGCCGGGCGTGTGCGTCTGAGGTGATCCTTTAAAATGGAAACGCATTTGTGTGGATGTAGCAAGAGAAAGTTTGTTTTAAGAGCAACAAGCAAAAGAAAAGGAAAGTGTGGCAGAGGAAATGAAAATACAGGAGGAGAAGTTAAAGTAAAGTAGAGGTTTGTTCTGAAGGCCAGACATGTTTGAGGAGCTGGATTAGAATGAGGTAAGATTAGGTTTTAAGGGCAGAACATTATGTCAGCCACAAGGTGGTCTCACTTAATCTCTGTGTTGGTTTTGACTTCTAATTCACTTCATTGAGTGGTTTTAACCAAAGCTTTGCCTCAAGTTTTCCAAGTGTCTACTCTTCTCCTCTCCTCCTCTCCTTCTCACTTCCTCTCTTCTCCTCTCC